TCAGGTCGGCAGGACAGACAGCAGGAAAGGACAGAGCTGAAGGGAGAGGCCTTGGGCCGCATTCACAGGTCCGTCAGTGCGTGAGTGTAAGGCATGTACTCAAGGGAAAGGGACGAACCATCTGGAAGGATTGGAGGGAAGGGCAGCCTAGTCGCCCCTGTAGAAAAGATAATGAACTTGAAGGCATCTCTGTAAACTGTCGAAATACTCAGAGAAAAAAGAGTTAACAATAAAAAGAGCAGCAGGGAGCTGGGGACAACTGAAGGCATCTCACAGATGTGTGACTGGAGACCCTGAGAGAGAGAGGAGGGCATGGGGTGGGGGCAGAAAATATAGCTGAAGAAATAATGGCTGAAAACACCCTCCAATTTGGTTTTTTTTTTTTTAAGATTTTATTTATTTAAGGGAGAGAGAAAAAGCATGCGCACACAAAGGCAGGGGGGAGGGGCAGAGGGAGAGGGAGAGGCAGGCTCCCCACTGAGCAGGGAGCCTAGTGTGGGGCTCCATCCCAGGACCCCGGGATCATGACCTGAGTGGAAGGCAGACGTGAAACCGACTGAGCCACCCAGGTGCCCTGAACACACCCCCAATTTGATGAAAACGGTGAACCCCTGCAGGACTCTGAGCGTAAACCACATGAGCAAACCACACCAGGGCACGGTGTACCAAGATGTATTGCCCAGCAATACAGAAAATGCACTGACGCAGCCCCTGCCTCACACACAGACCAAGAGAAGGCTGGCTGCAGGTTTTCTGTTGGAAACAAGGCGAGTGACTGGGCAGTGGAGGGACATCTGTAAAGTGTCGAATAGACCAAACCCAAATGAACCTGTCAAGCTACAACTGTGAACCCAGCAAGAGTTCTCTCAGAAACAAAGATTGAGTGCAGATCTGTTTAGACATCAGAGGCCTGAAGGAATCCGTCGGGAGTGGGCCTGTGTGACCAGCAGTGGTAAGGGACGTCCTGAGAGCGGGGCAGTGGTGCTGGGCAGAAACCGGAGTCTGTACACGGAAACAAAAAGCACCACAAATGGTAACTATGTGGGTGGGGAAATAAAAAAGATTTTCTCTTACATAATCTCCTTTAAAAATATAAGAATGAGTTTTCGTACAAAAATAATGACACTGTACTGTGGAGTATATGACCTGTGTATACGTGAGACGTGTGACACAGTGTGAAGGCCAGGATGGGGGAGAAGACAGTACGTGCCCACGTCTCTCAAAATCCCTGTGGAGGGTCACTTGAAGGTGGCCTGTGGGAAGTTTATAAACCCGAGTTCAAAAATAACAAAATAAAGGGTTATGGCTAAGAAGCCAACATAGGAGATACAAGGGAATCATAAAAATGTTGAGTCCAGAAGAAGTCAGAAAATGAAGGAAAAAGGAATAAAGAATACGGGGGACTGATAGAAAACAAACAGCTATGTGACAGACTTAAATCTAAATACATTAATAATCACGTTGAACATAAAGGGTCTGAGTATCCCAATGGAAAGATGATCAGGTTGTATTAAAAAAATCCAGAGCTACAAGAAATTAACTTTAAATACAAAACACAAATAGCTTAAGAGTAAAAGGATGAGCAGATAGCCTTCAGATTAGCTAACAGGATGAGGAAGATACCTTAAATTAGCTAACACTAATCTAATGAAAGCCGGAGTGGCTGTGTTAGCATCAGACAAAGTAGACCGTGGACAGAAGGACCCCGCGAGAGATAAAGACCATTTTATAATAATAAAGCAGCCAACTGATCATGAGGACATGACAATACTCAACACTTATGCACCCAACAACAGAGTTTCAAAACAAACAAAGCTAAAATGGATAGAACTTCAAGGAGAGACAGACAAATCCACACTACACTGAGTTGCACCAGTTGTAAGATACAAGATTAACACACACAAATCCTTTTTTTTTTTTATAAGCTAGCAATGAACAACTGTAAACTAACATTAAAACATTTAAAGCAATATAGAAAACATGGCACACTTCAGGATAAGTCTGACAAAAGATCTGTAACCTGTACCTTGAGAACTTACAAGACACTGCTGAATGAGACACACATAACTGGAGAGAGGCACCTGGCTCACGGGTCCAACGGCTCCATTCTGTTAGGCTGTTATTGACCTTCAAATTAATCAACAAGTTCCACACCATCCTAATCAAAACCCCAGCAGACTTTTTGTGTGGAAAATAAGCAAATGATTCTAAAATTCATATGGAAATGCAAAAGGACCTATAATAGTGAAAACAACTTTGAAAAGAAGAACAAGGTTGGAGGAGTGACACTACCTGATTTCAAACTCGTTACAGGGCTGAAGTGATCAGGACTGTGTGGTACTGGCATAAAGATAAACACATGGATCGATGGAACAAAACACGTCGCCCAGAAATAGGCCTGCACATACACGGAGAACTAATTTTTGATAAAGGTGCAAAGGCAATTCAGTGGGGGAATAAAATTATAAAACTTCTAGACGAAAATATACAAGAAAATCGTTGCAATCTTGGGTTAGTCAAAGATTCCTTCGATAGGACACTAAGAGCACAACCCATAAAAGGACAAACTGATAACCGGGGCTGCATCAAGATTAAACACTTGTACTATTCAAAGGACGTCAATGGAAGACCGAAAAGACAAGTCACAGACCGGAAGGAGATACTTGCAGAGCACGTGTCTGATAAAGGACTCACACTTAGAATACGTAAAGACTCTCAAACCTCATAATTTAAAAAAAACACATTAAAAGATTGGCAAAAACTTTGAACACATACTTCAGAAAGAAGGTATAGATGTCCCATGAGCACAGGGAAGGACGCACGGCGAGCTGCCGCCCCGGGCCCCCTTGGATGGCTGAAGTGACCAAGACTGAGCAGCACCACATGCTGCTGAGGACGGGGCGTACCTGGCCCTCCTGCATACTGTGGAGAGAATGTAAAATGGTACAGCCACTTTGGGAAGCAGTGTAGACATGTCTTAAAAAGTTAAACATATATCTATCACGTGGTCCAGTCGCTCCACTCCCAGCTGTTTATTTACCCAAGAGAAATGAAAGTAGGCATCCACACGGAGACTCGTGCAGGAATGCTCACAGCCCTTGTGTGTGTGTGTGTGTGTGTGTGTGTGTGAGTCTACCCCACTAACACCTCCCTGCTGTGGTTTGGAGCCACTCCCTGGGGCCCAGTTCCTCACATACCAGGCAACCCCTGAGGTCAGTGACACGCTGGGCACCCAGGCACCCTCTTCCTGACTCCTGGTGGGGGTCCTGCATGGAGCCCCCTGCAGTGCTCCCCAAATCACTCCTGGGCTGCTGCTTCCATGTCTCTCTGGCTCAGACTGTGCTCCCATCACAAACCTCAGAGCCCCTGTCTCATGTCACCCCCAGCAAGTCCCAGCTGAGTGTCTATTTTTGGCCACTGCCGTAGGCCTGCTGCTCACGGGTGGAGGGTCATCTTTCCAGAGCTCAGACCAAGAGCCTTCCTGCCTGCCTCTCTCACAGCCCACTTCTGATCTGTTAGCAATCCCTAGTTCTTCTTCAAGATACTTCCGGAACACAGCACTCCCGGCCCAAGCCCCACCTTCCGTCAGCCCCTGCAGCCTCCCGTGCTTAGCCGGCCCTACGGGCTCCACTCCTGGGCCTCCTGCCCACCTCTTCTTACGCACAAGCTCCAGCTCCCCCTCCACCTGCTCTCCTCCATAACGCCTACCTTAGGGGCCACACCGTGCCTGCCCACGTAGCACTGCACTTCTGACGCCCTCCCCACCACGGCTTTCTCCTACTTCGTGACACCTTTTGTTTTCCAAGACACTTATTCAACCCATCCACTGGCTACCCACTGCCCCTGTGACCGGAGGAAGGCCTGCAGGGCACACAGGGCACATGGGAAGGGCCTCAGGCCTTTGTTGTTTGCCCTGAGAGAGTGTGGGGGCTATCCACCGTGGGCCTGTGTCCCACCCAGAGCTTCAGTGTCCAGAAGAGGCACAGAGGCTTTTAAGGTAAGCACAGGTGAGCAGACAGTTCTGCAGGTGGGTGCAGCATGCACACACTTCCGCTGACCATGGTCGCTGTGCGTGGCCTGGCCTCCCAAGTACATAGAGGTGGTGCTGGGAGAGCTGAGTTCTACTTATCTGAGAAGTGTCTTCATTATTGTCATTTTAGGAAGTTTTGCAAAAGCAACACGAGAATGACCTTGCAAAGGGTTGAGGAAGGGATGAGTTGCTAATCTGTATGATCACCCGGCAGGGCAGCCTAGGGTGTGTGTGCGTGTGTGCACACGAGCCAGTGTGGCTGGGGGGGCGCAGACAGGAACCAGAGCCAGTGAGGGGCAGCGCACAGTATTTATTGAACTACAACGTGGTGCAGAGGCGCTTCCTGGCCAGCCCCCCGAAGACGCCTGGGGGCCCACGTGTGCATCCCCAGCACGTGACAATTCAGTGAAGTCAGGACTCCAGCACCCCCCACCTCACCTGCACTGTGGCCCAGGACCCGGTCCTCCATTCTCCCTCCCCTGCCCCCAGTGCAGACCTGTGTGGACATGTGGGCCGAGCAAGCACAGGCTCTGGCGGTGGGGGGGGGGGGGGGGGGCGGGTGGCGAGTCAGCAGGGGGTGCTGGGTGGGAGCAAACCCGCTCAAAGCAACCACAGTTCTAGGCGGTCTAGGAGAGACGGCTTGTGGGAAGTGCTGTCAAAATGTCAAAACAATTCATAAACAGGTACATGGACACTAACGGACAGAATTTCTAAAATGTCACAGATGGGAGTGCCCCCAAAGCATTTAAAATAATTAACACTGCATGCCAATGCATGAACACACGAGCATAAATTAATTCCAAGGGAAGTATCAGGGACAGAGCCTGGAGCTGACAGAGATATAATATAGATTTGTTTTGTTGGCGTGTGTATGTCTATGGCATAGATAACTTGTTAGTAAAGAAAACCTCTATTTATATTTGCGATGAAGGGCGGGTGGGCGGTCTGTATAGAGTGTGCGAGCCGGGTGGAGGTCAGGGTTCACGGACAGGATTAGAGCGCACCCATCCCAGTGACCTCAGATGTCAGCCTGGAAGACACAAAGGTACAGGGAGACAGGTCACAATGTTCTCATAAAACGGGACCAGAAGCGAATGGCTCGCTCTGTGTGTTCTCACAGTCTTCGGACCCGCCTCCCTCTCGGTTGTTAGATGTGTGGTCATGAGTTGGAGACCAAAGTGGGGTGGAGGGAAGATGACCCACCGGGGACCAGGTTGGTGGGGTCTGCCTTCCCTGTCACGTCAGGGGTGTGACACTAACCACCTGGACAAGCATCGGCTACCACGACCCTTTCTTCAGCAGTTGCCCTCGGAGGGGAGCCAGGGTCGCACTGCCCATGGCGTGGAGGGGAGGCTGCCTCCCACGTCCACCTGGGCCTCCCCAGAGCCCAGCTTGATCTTCTGAGGGTCTGGCCCCAGGTGTGGTCACACTATGTTCTCTGACATGTCCCTGGGCAGGGAAGCTGAGGTGCATGCTCAGCCCCAGGACCTCATCTGCCCCTGGTGTACCCTCTGACTCTCACAGTTTCCAGATTCGCTGCTCGGCAAGGGTCTGGGTGGTGGTGGCAGTGTCTTTACAAACACAGGGCCTGAGAGAGGAGAATGGTCTAGTAATGTGCTCTCTGAAACTCCACAACCCAGTTAGCCCAAGTGTGTGACCTCAGCCGTGTAGCCATGGCCTCTCTGGAAATGCTCTAGGCTGTAACCACCTCATCCCCCACCAAGAATTTCCAGGGTGAATGGTCAGGTGTGAACGTGCAGAGCGGGTGTAGGGCCCATGTCTATGTGGAGACTGTCTCCATCACATCCCACCCCCATGCCCAGCCAGGAGAGAGAAGCCACCAGAGAGGACCGGGCACGGTCTGGGCTCTCGCCATGGCGAGCCAGTCCCTCTGAGCGTCTTGTCCGGCCAGCGACACATCAGACAGGACCTTGTGAACACTCACCTGGCATTGATGAGGTACTGGGCAAGGCTGATGTTGGCTGGGGTCCCTGTGATGGTGATCTGGCGCTCGGATGACCCTTCTGTGGCATTGGCAATTTTGATCTGAGCTCCAGACATCTGTCGAATTTCATTGATTTTGGTCCCTTGGCGTCCAATTATGCAGCCTATTAGCTAGAAAAAAGGACGGAGGACTTCCTTGGAGAAGAGCCCCCACCCCGAGCTGAGTGCGTGCAGAGCCCTAGGGAGGCCCCAGAGGCAGGACAGTCCAGCCTTGGTGTCCACCCCACTCCACAAACTCCACCCTCCCAGAAGGACGAGGCACTGCCCGCCCAGGAGGCAGGGTGCCAGGTAGCTTTCCTGCTGGGGGTGAGGCTGCACATGCCCGGGCTCTGCCTGCTGCAGCGAGTCCTGACAAGTCCCAAAGGGGATGGGGACCCGCTGCGTCACCTCCCCTGGTGTCCTTCGGGGGCCTGGGGGACGGGGACCACGCAGGCGCTAGCACCAGGGCCCTCTTGGCCATGTCCTCGGGGTGGAGAAATGTTTGTCTGAAGCCAGAGTTTCAAGCTCTCTGCTGCCTAAAATCCGGCTTCTGATGAACTTGGGTGAAATTCTGGGGACATGTCAGATGCTCCCTATCCTTCCCAGTGGGACCTCTGGCTGCCCTGGGCCACCCGAAGGAAGAGGCGGTCATCAAGAATCAAGCAGCCAGAAGGACAGGAGCCAGGGCTGCTCAGGACACAGAAGCAGCCACGCACAGGGCTGGACTGCAGCCTGAGTTCTAGACCAGCTCTCTGAGGCGGCCCACCCTGCTGGTGGGGGCAACTCGGGCCCCAGAGGAGCCTCCACGGAGGAGGCAGCTGCACCTCTCCATGTTTACTGTGGGCAGAACCGAGTCCCTCCCTGAGCCGGGACTGCTGAGGTCAGCTGGGAGAGCAGGCACCGAGCAGGGCAGGGCCAGTGCAGCGGCTTCCGAGTCTGCCTCCCCTGGCCTGGGGGGTACGCAGCCTGGCCGAGAGTGTCAGCAGGGCTAGGGGCCCGCTTCTGTGGGATGGCAAGCAGGAAGGAAGCCCATTTACAATCACACACGCCTCTGGACCTATTTAATGACACCAGCTTTTGTCCCCGAGGTGACCTCCAGCTTCTCAGTTCTGCTCTCCTTTCCTGCGTTAGGTCAGCTGCCTCACTAGAGTCTCTCCAGGTGTCCAGAGAAGCCTCCACCCCAGGGCTGCTCAGCTTCCTCCACCTCCTGCCCCCAGCTCCCAGGCCCCGCCCCTAACCCACTCCGCCCCGCCCCGCCCTGAGGTCAGTGAGGGAGCCGCTACTGTCCCTGGCCTGGAGCCTGGCCCGGAGTCCTTCTCCCGCAGCAGAGACATCTGGAGCACTGCCCTCCGACTGCACCAGGCAAGGCAGGGACTGCTGGGCTCGTGGGCTGCATGCGGGCAGCAGCACCGGCCCCTGACGGAGGGGGATGTGGGGCCAGCTGAGTCCCCAGAAGATGCCCGCGCTCAGAGGATCCTTACACTTCGTGGCCACTAGCAGCCCAGTCTCCCTTCCAGAACCTTCCCCCTTCAGTGCAAGTAGCGTTTGCTGAGCCTCCTGCAGAACGGCTTTTCTCCTCCCATAACCCTATCTGAGGAGACGTCTCTCTGGCACGCAGTCCCCACACTCTCTCAAACAGCTTCCTGAAGATGTCCTCGCGCCCAGCCCTCTCTTCTTCCCTGGGGCCTCACCCCTGCGGGGCCCTGCACTGCCCCCCAGCCGGCCTGGGGGCTCCTGAAGCCGCCCCTCACTCCTCACTTATGTGGAACACGTCCCTCTTCCAGAGAGAGCAGAGGGGTGCGGGTGCTGGTGACGCAGACGCTGGGCTGAGCCCAGGGCTCTCCTGCGGGCAGCAGTGTCCTCGGCAGCTGGAAAGGCCCCTCGGACCTGGCAGGGGCCGGCCTTCCCAGCCCTGCTCTGCAGCCGTGGCCCATAGAGCTGGGCTCCGGGGGCCTCCTGACCCCACACACATGCAGCCGTGCCCAGCTCTCTCCCCTCACCCGGTGGGCTTCCACAGGGAGCCCGAAGGGAAGTCATAGGCACTTTCAAGTACCGTGGCCCCTCCTAACTGGGTTCAGAGCTGCACCCCGGGGCTCTGTGGGGCACACACCTTTCTCTCATCCTGGCGCCGCCTGTGTGAGCCCTTAGATCTCTGGGTGATTCTGGGGTTGGGACCAGGGATGGAGCCCAAGTGTGGGGTGACCACAGGCACAGGGACAGTGAGGGCCCAACGGCGACATCAGCCACGGAACCCAAGGCCAGGGGAGTCCCAGGACGCCAGCAGAGGCAGCTCCACACACGACTGCTGGCCCTGACCTGGGTCCCCGTCACCACGCCAGCAGGTGGCTGTGCTGTGGAACGTGCACGTGGTTTCAGTTACCACACACGCCCGCCATCCAGAAAGTCCTGCTGTGGCGACGTGTGGGTGTGGGCAAACTCCCCTCCACACAACCTAACTTTGACCAGGGACACGGATGTGGGCATCATGTGAGATGCGCATCTGAACAAGGGCTCTGATGCGCGCATGCCTCCCCTGGGGGGCCGGGGTGAGCATGAGAAAGCCTCCTAGCAGGGCTGTCACCAAATCCTCCTCCCAGGAAGGGCCCCCTCGGAGCCAAGAAAGCAGCCTCCTCCTGAGGGACTCCCCGGGAGGAGGCGGGCAGTGTGGCGCTGCATGCGAGGTGGCGCCCGTGTGCTCCAGGGGCCCCCACGAAGCAGGCACACTGCTCGCTCTCCGAACAAGCCTCACCCTCTTCCTCTTGTTTTCTGGGCTCATCTCACTTTTGGAAGGAAGGCTTGGATGAGAAGAAGACTCCTGTCATTGGTGAGTGGTCTCAGTAAAGGCTCAGAGGAGAAGCCCCATGAGTGCAGCGTGGCCCCTGCATTTAGCATGTGGGTGAAGATTCGGGGGGCTGCCTGCAGCCAAGCTGCTCAAGGATCATCACGTGGGAAGACAGTGTCGGGAGCTCCCGAGAGCAGAAACACTCTCCCCTTGAGACGCAGGAGCGCGTCACCTGCAGCCGGCCACCAGGGCCCTGATGAAGGCGGTGTTTCCTCGGGGAGTGTGGTCGTGGGGGGGGGGGTCCCTTCCTCTGGTCCTACGCCTCACTACTCTCCCGCCCTGCAGCTCATCCCTCTCCATACTCGGGATGGGCCATCCCCCTGAAGCCACACAACTCTGTGCTTCTCTTAGAACTTCGTGCCTGGCTGGTCCCAGGGGCAAAGCAGTGAAGAATCTGGAAGGCCTCAGTTCTAGGGCAGAAAAGGCCAACTGACACGTGAGCTGGGAAGGCCATGTCCCCCAAGCAGCTGCCTTCCTGTGCGACCCTGAGCCACTGCCCCTCAAGGACACGTGGCCCACACCCACCCTGGTGTCTTGGTTTCCGATTGGAGTCAGCGTCCTTAGGATAATCCAGGGGTTCGGAGGACAGGACAGGTAGGGCTGAGCATGTGGAGGGTGGCTCGTAAGGCCACTTTGTCAGCTGAGCCCTGGGCAGGGACAGGCTGTGGGCACCACATACGGGCACCCTGCTGCAGCAGACCCTCCGAGCATTCCTGGCCCACCTGCTCTTCAAGGGTCAACACTGAAGTCCCCTTAGCTCCTTTCCTGTCTAGTCTCTCGGGAGCGTGACATCACGTGCCTTTTGTGGCCCCTATACCCAGCCGTGGGAAGGGCGGGGAGCGGTCCCAGGCAAGTCAGGGCTGGCTGAGGGCTCAGGCATACTCACATCATTGGGAATGGTGAGCTCATGAGTGCTGGCCGGGGGGCTGGCGTCCAGACCTGGGCACACCAAGGGGACAAGGTTAGGCTAGCAGTAGGCTGCTCACATCACGCCCGGCAGCCGCCCCCATGGACCCCACAGGTGGGGCACGCACACCCTGGGAGCCCAGGCCCTGTGAGCTCTCAGTCCCAAACTGCAACCAATGTCTGGAGTCCCAGCTTCTCTCAAAACAAGGACAAAAAACCTCCGCACAGTGACGTTCCACGTTTTCATCTTGGGCACGTGGTGATTTCACTCCTGTGCCGTGCGACGTGGGGATGCCCTTCACAGACCTCTAGGGGACCCATGCTGAGCGGCCAAGTGTGTGTCCTGGGCCCCCCTGTGCACCTCAGGCCGGCTGCCCCTTCTCCCCCTCTGCCCCAGCAGAGCCACGGGCCCCGCACCGCCAGCCCCGCGGCCCAGCTCCGTCGCCCAGCCACACAGGCAGCTCTCGCACCCCGACAGCGGATCAACGGTCAACCAGTAAGCTTTGAGGCCCAGCGGAGACCGTGTGCTTCTGTGCTGAAAGTGCAGACACAGGCCTAACTGATCACCAGGCCCCCAGTTTTTATCTTTACAATCTCAGCTCGGGGCCTAGCAAATCAGAGACAACTTCTCCAACAGCTTCTCACAGGACAAGATCTACTCTTGCTCCCAAAACAGGGACAATAGAACATGCGGTGGGCTTCGATAGGACCAGCGGGTTCCCTGCCCTCAGCACTTCTGTCTCTGCCTCCGGAGGCATCTAGAGCACCAAGTCCATCCACAGCGGATGCCCCCAATCCTCCGGGCAGGCCCCACGCATGCCTAGAGCCTCCATCTGCAGAACCACCGTCACAGCCCGGCTCATACCGTCAGAATATTCCGGAGCCTGAGCCCTCTCTCCCCTCTCCTGGTTCCTGCCTCTGCCCTTGCCCCTCGGTCTACTCTCCACAGGCCCAGAGAGGCCTAAGGAAACGCAAGTCAGATGCCTTCAAGACTGTGCCGAGCCCACCCTGCCTCCCACGTTCCTGCCGTCGGCCTCCCCGCCCACCCCCACCCCTCCCTCTTCCTGCTTCTTCCTCCATGGCACTCGTGTCCCCAACACCAGACACACTGCGGTCATCAGTCTCTGCCACGAGAGACCGCCCAGAGCCCGCCGTGCTGGCGGGTCAGTTGGCAAGTGCTGAATGAACCAGTTCATCCCGAATTGTCATTTCCTTTTGCACAGCTAAATCTAGAGTTTCTGTGCTTTATCTTCTTTTCAGAGAGGTATTTTCAATACAGTTATCTGGTTGTTCAACCGTCTACATACATTCCATAAATAGTGACATGCAAAATGTCATCTACGAGATTTCCTCAGTCCTTTGTGAGCCCTGGACAGGAACTCCTGCACGGCCTGCTTTGGGATGGACATAAAGCAGAGTCATATCCGTTCACCTGGGTGGATTCTGATCCAAGGGAGGAAAGTATCAGACTTCTTTTCAAGAGGGCACTGACATAAACTGCTGGTCCGGAGACACACCTGTTTACAACTGGCATTCCTGTATCTGAGGGCCACACGCCCCGGTGGTGAGTGTCCCTCATCAGATGCTGATGCCGCGCACACCGGGACGGGAATCAAGCTTTGCCACGCGAGCCCGACCTGCTTTGTGAGCATCGGTGACATCGCCCCAGTCACCATGCATGTATGTGGGACATGCGTGCGTGTGCACGCTCTCCCTCTGGGTCTCACAGGGCCTCGGGGTGGGAGGTCATCACAAGGATGCCTTAAAGAGGCCATGCGCACACATGTCCCACATCCTTGAGGCCCACAGGTGGTGCTGGGGGAGCCAAGGCAGGGTCGGTGGGTGGCTGGCCGGGTGGGCGCTGTGTGTCCTGGGCAAGCCAGGCCCTCGGGTCCCCAGCTGTCTCTGGGAGACCATCGCTGGGTAATTGCATGGAATCACTTATAAACTGCAGAGGACTTATAGGCACATGTGTGTTGTCACCTAGATAAATAACTTTATCAGGGGTGATATCCATTTCCTCAATCAAGTATGTCCTATACGTTTTTCTCTAACTTTTTTCATTAAACTCTGCATTCACCGCGTTAAGGGCTGCACTGCATCGGGACCCATCTGGGGTGCACGGAGCATCAGAGCCCGCGTCTCGGCCCAGGGTGCACAGCTAGGCTCTGGGGCCCAGAACCCACTGATGGGGTGACAGCCAGTGCCAGAAGCGCTGCCCTCCTGCATTCCCCTTCAGCTGGATGCCTGCTCTTCTGCTCTGACCCCGAGTGGGATGGGAGAGCAGCTGGTGCCCCCTCATGGGGAACCGGCTCTGCCCGGCCACCAGCTCTCAGGTGGCGTCACTCCCCAAAGCCCCAGAGGAATGGGATCTGCACACCCGAGCCTGCCCTGTGACAGCCTAGGGGCATATTAATGCAACCAGATGGGTGCAGACTAATCTGGCCCAGGGCACTCTGCTCCTTGACCCTGTGCTCTGTCTCCTACGAAATGCATTTCCACAAAGCACTCGTCACGGTAAACTCTTCACTGCAGCGCCCCCCCCCGCCCCGCCCCTCACTGTGCTGCCTACAACACAGGCACTGGCCCGTCACCTCTGGGACCTTCGATGACGGGCAGCTGCGCTCTGAGCACCTTCTGAGCCTGTGGGCCACCACCTCCCCGCAGCGCCCGGGGCTGACCCACGGGCCAGCCACATGGGCTCTGTCCCCTGACAGCACTGAGGCACTCGCAGTCCCCATGGCAGACGCGATCAGGCCTCCTTGCCCCTCCTCCCGCCAGGTCGGTGACCCGGAGCCCGGGCAGGGGCGGATGCACAGCCTTCTGGGCCTGCCCTCTCTCCGTTTAGTGTGCTTTTGTTTTACCTGACGACTGGCCCATCAGATTTTGAGCTTCTTCGGAGGAGTGTAAAGGCAGCTTTTCTCCTGGAGAGCAAAGAAGAAACAGATTTAATGTTTTGCCCTCAAGGAGATAAGCAAGGTCACTTCAACTAGGGAAGCTCAAAATCTGACTGGCGCATGCACAGCAGACCAGCGCGTCCAGTGTGTGGTCACCTGCACAGCTGCCGAGGCGATGCCCTGCCCATGTCAGGGAGGAAGGAACGCCTGGCTGGCAAGACGCAGCGGAGCGAAGGCCCACCCCCACCCTTGTGCCAAGTGGGGTGCCGATAGTGACCGTGCCCTGGGCTGGGGGTTGGCTCATCTCAGTTCTCCCTGGGGCAGGGCCGGGTGCCGTCCTGGGCAGGTGTCACTCCTGGGCTGTGCATGGGCCTCCTACAGGAGGGCATCCCATCTGCTTGTCTGAGCTCTTGCTCCTGGAGAGAACAGGCTTCAGGGCCGGCCAAATGGATGTATTCAGCAGGAGGGGGCCCCCAGGATGCCTGTGCGCAGCGGAGAGCAGGCGTGGACCCTCGAGGGGACAGATGTCGCTTCGCAAGAAGGCCATTGTGAGGTGAGCAGCCTACCGCAGCAGACACACACACAGACCTCCCCGCCCGGCCCTCTGCAACGTGCACACTGCTGCGTGTCTGCACTGCGTCCTTGGCACCCACAACTAGAACGGTGCCTGTGCTGCTCGCCACCCTGAATAATGACAGTTCAGAAAGAGAGTCCCCAGGTGAGAAGAGAGGAGGTCAGAAAGGGCAGCTGGGTACGTACCGGGGAAAGCGGGGTTGGTCTGTCCGAGGGGAGGAAAGGGGGTTTGCTGCATGGCCAGCTGGTGGAGCTTGGTCAACTGCTGGGGTAGGAGGGACACGAGAGCTAAGATCATTGTCATCGAGCACAATTCACACCAAGTTAAAAAGGCAGTGACAGAACGCTGTACAAACAGATACAGAGGGGGCCATGCGGACACATGGCAGACGCAGCAGAACGCAAGGACTTGGCCTGGGAAACGAATGGGCCACTGGGCGGGTGCACCCAGTTCCTTTCCTCTCCTCAGCTCCCCGGCAGCTCACACAGGCTGGGCAGGCAGCGACCCCCAGACCGCATGCAGGCGAGGGAGGCCAGTGGAGGCCACCGGGCCCCTCGGCTCCGTGGGGGGGGTCTGAGAGCCACAGAACAGGACCTGCTGGGCCCCTAGGGGCTTCAAGGTCAGGTCATGCTGGCTTCACAGAACGCACGCACCTTGTGACTGATGCCCCTTCTGCAAACCTGGCCTCGCCCCAGCCCCAGCTAGGCCTGGACCTTGCCCTGGGCCAGCCCGGCCTTCCCCGCAGGGCCTCCCCAAGCTGCTCTTCCGGGACTCCCAGGATCACAGAACGGAGTGCTGGAAGGTTCTGTAGGGGGCGGGTGAGCGCCTCCAAGAGGCTGTGAGGGCTGTTAAGAGTCTCACGACGACCAGGCCGCTCTCTGTTCCCTTTTCCCCCACCTACTGGGCTTTCTTCAATTGTTTTTATCTGGGCCTCATTTCTTTTTTCTTTATTTTTTTAACTAGGCTCCACGCCCAGCCCAAGCCTGATGCGGGGCTTGAACTCATGACCCTGAGATCATGACCTGAGCTGAGATCAAGAGTCAGACACTCAACCGACTGAGCCACCCAGGGCGTCCCATCTGGGCCTCATTTCTTAAGGAAAAACCCCAAATAGCAGAAGGTAAAGGAAAATGTGGTGAGTCCTGGCCATGTTTTGGGAACTGAAGGCTAACTGCTGGCCACTCAGAGGGATGCCCTCAGGCCTAGCTCACCTGCAGGGCCTACACCACACACTCTGGGAAATGCACTCAGCTCCTAACCTCCTCCTGACAGCAGGCCCATCCCGAACGTGTCCCAGCACTGCTCCGGGGCTGGCCCTGGACTCCTGTCTGGAGGCAAGGACAGGGCCTCCCCGGAGCCCCCAGGGGTCAGCGGGCGGGGCACACAGGGAGGAGGGAGGAGCTGGTGTCCCCATTGAACACGAGTGTGTCGGGGAGGTGGTGATCGTGCCCGAGGCACAAACACCCGACATTCAGGAGACTTCACAGATGTACCTCAAAGCAAGAGAGGCGTGGGTCGCTGTGGGCCTTCAGCAGCTTAGCCCCACACAAAGACAAACACCAAACCCCTTCCAACTTGAGGAGGACCATGGCTGCCCCGTGTGCCGTGCCTGTGGGCGCAGCTGCGGGTGCAGGGGTGTGCGGTGCGTTGGCGCTTCGTCCAGCTCTTGTAGCTCCCGCAGCACGAGGTGTGTGGACCCCAGCTGCAGCTGGGAGCCAAGCCACGACCGCCTGTGGCCTCCTGGTCATGCCTTCGAGGTGGAGCCTCTGCCGTGTGAGCCCCGGGATGTGAGGTGGGCCGCTGCTGCAGCAGAAGTGACCACGCCTGGTCTCTCCTGGCCGGCCCCTGTGACACAGCTATCAGAGTCCCTGCTTCTCCCCCTCTCTTCCTAGAGAGGGCAAGTGCCTCTAAATGTAGGCTTCTCCCTGTCTTCTGGGGTGCTCCCTGACCTGTGGCTCTCGGTGGGGGGCCTGCCCAGGGAGCACTGGACACATTGACTCGGTGAGCCCACTCTGGGTGCATCTATCATGCCCCAGGGTCCTGAGAAGCACAGGTTAGGGGGTGTGGTGACCTGGAGTCATGTCCAGCAATGACAGTCCCTGATGAAGTGGTGCGGGTCAAGGGTGCACCTGGGGCTGGGGGCTGACCCTGCACCTGTCATGTCTGCCCCATGACCTAACACCACTGAGCTGTGTGACCTGAGCAGCCACTTGTCGGAGGCCCCCAAGCAAGCTGCCAGAAGAGCACCCCCAGGAAACACCATCATGGGGACACTCGCTGAAGTGACAGGGACAAGAGTTGACACGTGGCCTGCGCCCACTGTGCCTCAGGACAGATGACCCTGCAGGGAAGGGGCCTGGAGGTCAGAGACCCTGCTGCGTGGCTGGGGCAGCCTAGTGAAGGCTCCTCTTTCAGGGACAAGTGGGAAAGATGGCAAGTACCCAATGGCCTCCTGGGGCATGGGGGATGAGAAGAGGGTGAGGCTGTCTGTGGCTGAGGTGCTGCCTGGGAGCTGGACCGCACAGACCTGGTCCCACGAACCTGTGTCCAGCTTGATGGGACCAGGAGCCGCAGGGGCCACGGGCCCTGTGCATAGCAGGCCCGAGTCCCAGAGGTCACCTGGCAGGGGTGTGCCTGAACCCACCTTCAGGTGGAGCTGGAACCGGGCTAAGGTTACAAGGTGGTAACTACGAGTTCCTAGGACGGAGGAGAAGACCCCACTTCTGGAGACAGCACATGGGAAGTTGAAGCACAGAGGCTGTGCGAGTCAGGCTCAGGGCTGCCAGGCGGTGGGGGGCTGGGCACGCAGTGTGCTCTGTCACTCGGGTTTCCATGAGACGCAGAGCTCACACGGGGACATGACCAGCCCCCTGAGGGCTCCAGCCTTCTGCCCAGGGGATGGGCCAGCAGGAAGCCTGGGGGTGACTCGGGCCTCGAGGTCTGCTGGCCTGGCTGCTCGGGGCTCCTGTCCTGCCACCTCTCCCGTCAGGTGCTTGTGCTCCTCCCGTGGGCAGAGTCCTCTTCTGTCTGTCTCGAGGCCCCAAGAGTGCACAGCTGTGTGTTGGTCAGGACCGCAGGGGACGGCACGGGAGAGCGGGGCCCTGGCGGCGGAACTGGCCTGGGTTAGCTCCAGCACCGACCAGCTGGGTGGAGGAGGGCTCGTCTGGTCTCTGCAGGCCTCTGTCCTGATCTGTAGGATGGGGGAATCAGGAAAGCAAGCAGCTCTGGCCACCAAGTGCTGTCCACCTCAGCTGGGGAGCATCACCATCGAGAACAACCCGGGGCTTCCCCACCCACCTGTCCGCAGCTCCGTCACCTCGATGCTCCCCTGGTGTCTCCATCGCCTCCCTGGCAGGTAAGCAGATTCGGTGCGTCCGGCGGGTTGGCACAGAGCCCACGAGCACACGTGCTCCAGGCGCAGGTGGACGAATGCTCCCCAAGGCTGGAGCATCAGCAGTCCTAGACCTAAGCTCTCCTACTGCCAGGCACTGGGTGCTTTTCATGAAGAAACAGCCACCCCAGTGGTGAGTCTCCCTCCACCCATGCACCAAGAATGTAAAGTGATGTCCGGCGGAGACTGGCTGGGCACACGGTGGTCCAGCAAGCAGACGGGCAGAGAGGCGGATGGATGGTGTCAGCTGGCCTCCCTCTCGTCTTGGTTCTGTCCTTAATTAGTCTAGCACTTCATCTCCTTGGGATGTAATTTCTACATTTTTTAAGGAAGGAGCAAAAAAAGTGCTAAGGGGATTCCTACTTTTTGAGACATTTTTGCCATTAAAAAATCAGACTCCCAGTACTCAAAAGTGCCTCCGAATCACTGGGAGGGAGGGAGGCAGGGTGGAAGGAAAGGGAGGGCGCGGGGGAGGGAGGGGCAGGTGTCCTGAGATGGACGGCTCTCTGTCCCTTGCCTTTTCCACTGAATGTTGGATTAGAATAGAAAAACAGACAAATCCTAAATGCAGACAAACTCACTGAGTTATCACAAGACAGGCGTGCCGTGCACCTGCCACTCACTGTCAAGAACAGACCACCATGTGGGCTCAGGCTGCGTTCATGTTTCCTCTCCTGTGAAATGCTTGTGTCTTTGCCCGTTTTTCTATTGGGTTGACTTTTGCTCACTCACAAAAACTCCTTTTATATTTCAGATATTAATCCTATTTCAATTGTATGTGCTGATAAGATCTTTTTCCCACTCTCCTTTGGTGCCTTTGAGAAAGATAATTTTTAAATTTTAATGTAGTCAAATTCATTTATATTTTCTTCATGGTTTGTGCTCATATTTTGTTTACGAAACCTTTCCTGACTTGAGAACAGAAAGATCTTCTCTATTTTCTTCTAAAGTGCTGTTTTCCTCTCTTGTGTTGAAATTCTTGACACAAGAAGTGTTTGGGTCATTGTTCCCACATGGATGACCACGGCCACCTGTCCTCGCCTCTACCATCTGCACCAGCAGCTCCCTGGCCAGCGTGGGCAGGCCCCAGGCTCTCTGAGCGGCACACTGGCCCAGGGTTGCTCCCGGCGCCCAAACCCTGTCTCCAGCAGTATATGGCTCTACAGCCAGTCCCTGCATCTGCTAGGGCAGCTCCCCCAACTGTCTGTTTTTTCCATAGGTATCTTGATGTTTCTTGGCCTTTACTCTTTCATATAAATCTTAAACAGCATGTTAAATCCCTGTCAGGATTTTGATTGGAATTGTACTGCATTGTACCTCGATTTGGGAAGAATTGACATTTTAAAGATATTTCATATTCCTATCCATGAAATTGGTATGTTGCCCCCCTCTTTTTCTTTTTTGGTTTTTGGGCTTCTTTATCAATAAAGACGAGGGTTTTTTTTTTAAGTCATCTTTTATTTATTGATTTCAACTTAATTGCTTTGTGGTGAGAGTACAGCCTATAGGATTCCAATTTTTGATAGATGGTGAGCTTTCTTTATGGCGTAATGTGTGATCCAGTTATGTAGACATTTCTGGGACTTACATCCCTGTTGTGTAGAATTGGGTTCAAGCTATATCGGTCACGGCAGCGTCATGGGCAGGCTCCCTACATGTCTGTCAAATTTTAACAAACCTTTATGATTTGTTCACTTTTTCTTTACATGTATTTGAAGATATGTTTCAGGTGCATACAAGTTTTGAATTTAAATCTTCTGGTGAACTGAGCTTTTATCAATATGTAAATGACTATAAATATAGAATTTGCCTTAAAGTCTTGTTTTCCCCCACCGATATTAATGTTGGTACGTAAGGTTTCCTGCAGTTAGTC